AACAAGCAGAGCTTTACACTAGTGGCACCCGAAAAAAAAAGTAATTAAGATACTATTTCATTTTAATTAGCACTTTCATATCATGGATCAAGATAATAATAATAATAATAATAATAATAATAATAATAATATTAATAATAATAAGAATAATAGCAATGAAAAGAAAAATAAAATAAAAATAAATAATAAATAATAAATAATAATAATAATGATAAAAATATAAATAATATGTCGGTCTTAGATAGCAATTTAAACACTGTAAAATTATATAAATAATTAAATTAAATAGCAGCAATAAAGCAACATATACTGTAAATTGCACTTAAACATCATTGACTATTATTGACGAATTTCTTTACAAATAATACAATTTTTCCCGTCTTAGCAGTGGTATCGTTTCATCAACTTTCATGGTAAATATTATTCATTTTGTTCTTAAATAGTGAACTATTAGCACATGCTCTTACATTGCTTGATATGTTGTTCCACACCTTAGGCCCTATATACGAGATTCCTTGTTAGCCAACATTTGTGTGTTTTAAGTCGATAACAAGGTTTTGCTTATATCGTGTATTATGATTATGGTACGAGTCAAGTGTACAGAACAACAAATCAAAAGATTCTGGTAATAAACCCTTATCATATAAAAACATTAAGTTGGCTACATTTTTTTCATATAAATCAAATATGTTTAAAGTATTGGTTTTAACAAAAAGTTGAGCAGATGGGTGTAGATAATGTACATTACATATGATTCTAAGTGCTTTCTTCTGTAATACATGGATTCTATTTAAGTTTGTCATGCTACCAGAACCCCATATCGTGATCCCATACGTTAAGCAGTATGTGATATGGTAGCGGATTTTTAAGGAGATTCATTGCTCCAATAATTGCAGACACCTTACTAGCAATAACATTTACATGTTGAGAAAAATTAATTTTTTCATCAAGAGTGATACCAAAGAATTTAATTTTGTCTACTCTCTGAATAATGTCCTGGTCACATAAAAAAAATCAGGAAATACATTACTAATAACTTCCCAAAAGCTGTGCTAAATTTTAGATTCCACAAATTTCGAATGTTACAGCTAAATTAATGATGACTCCAGTTAATATCCGTCTGTGGTGGAGATTTGCGTACCGTCGTACTAAACAAGTCTGTCGGTATTTGGATCCTTGATTACGAATCACCGAGTTGTATGCACTTTAGTGATAATATGCTGAAGGCTAGAATGGTGTCTCTCTGTACAAGGTTCCTAGTGAAATGTTATGCAAGTTCTTACGGTAGTTATCGGGCATAAGCTTACCCACCGACTTTGTGGGTGGGCTTAAAATCATTTCTTATAGATTTCAAAATGAAATCATGTCCTATTGTATGGATGGTCAATCAAACAGCAATTTTTTTAATACTGCTACCAATCCAAAGCAAACTCTTTTTCTTTTTTTTTAAATATTTGCATAAAAAGTCAGCTACACATTAAACTGATTGTCCATGTGCTAAAAAAATCAATAATCTAAATTTTATTAGTGACGATGTTAAAGATTTAAGTGGGAAGGAGGGTGCAAGGGTATTATTTTGCAGTAAACAGGGTATGGTTTAAGGATTCTACAAGGGGAGAAGATTTGCTTGATTTTTAAAACTCAGTCTTCACAATTTTTTTCCTATTAGCAATTTTAATAAGCCAGCTACTTATCAATAAGATTGAAGGAGCCGTCAACCTACAGCTTTACTCTATAATAAGAGGAAAATTAAAACTTTCATCATTTATATAACCCAGTAATTTACAGCATACAATACAGTCAATGTTTAACAGCTTAGCACAGGGGTTTTTAATTTACTAACAGTCATCACATAATAGTTTCAGTTTTATTTAGTACCTGGGAAAGTTTAATGTGTTGACCTTGCAGTCAGCTGTTTTATATGAGATAATATATCGCCTTTAAAAGCCTTGAGGGCACTTTCCTGTCACTGTGCCTCGCTTATCGTTTTACACAATCTCCAGTGAATTCCAAAAAAAAATGATAGGTAGATAGGATACCAAATATCAAGGCTTCTGGTGTGTTGAAAAAATTTTCAAAAAAATATATTTATCATTAAATACATATGATTTAATTTGGGCTATATCATTCATGAAATATTCTTACAAGTAGATATAATTATTAAATCATTAAAAATACATCATAATTTATACCAAGGTGTGTGATTAAAAACATGGAAATGGAACTAAATGACATAAAGAAAGAAAAGATACATATCCAAAAAAGTAGGCAATTTTTCCATTGGTGTCATATGATATTAAATTCACCAATCAAATGACAAGGATCTATTTAAGTATGTTATAATAATGAATGAATGCACAACTATAGTATACTCCATTAAAGGGAAGTTTACCAAGGTAAAATAATTTTTAAAATGGGATATAATAAGCCCTTGACATAAGTCTGTAAAATAGAGACCATTTCAAAGACTGCAGGGATAGTAAAACTTGTTGATGCTGTAAAATGTTATTATAAAGCCCTGTCCAGACTTTTGTATGACCATATGTAGTCATATTTGCCTATATATGGTCATGATGTGATGTCATCATGACCATATTTAGGCATGTCACATGTTTTTGTTGGGACAGAGCTTAAGACAAGTACAGTAAGAGCCAGTCCACACCTGGAGCGCTTAGAGACTGTTTCGGTGTAAAGCGCTATATAAATCAAACTACAATACTACATTATTTTAATTTCTGTTTCAATCCTAAGGATTATAAACTGTAGGCCCACAATTGGCTCATGTGCACTATAAAGAACCCAGTACATCTTTCGAGACGAGCAGGAGGGAGGGGGGTTATCCCGGTGTACTGGTCCATACAGCCTTTGCACCAAACTCGTCTATATACTGAACAGGCATTGAGGAGTAACTGAATATAGAAGTCTGCTTGTGTCAACTAACATCATAACTTTCAAGTACGAGACTTTTTAACCCTTAACTGTTTATTTTGACAAAACATTCACAACAATGGCTTAATGCTCATCTATTCCTTCATCCACAATTTTGCTTTCAAAGTTTTGAATTATTAAACCAAAAATGTCAGTCATAAATCATATACTGTATGAAAATGATGGAAATCATTTTTTTGGAGTAAAATTTAGGTTGCAATCTAATTTGGATATTATCTCAATTGGACATTAGGGCAGTAAAACTCATGAAGACTCACATGTGAGATGAAACCAGTTAGTAAGTCAACATACACCATTTGGAACGCATCGATGAACTGTCAGGCGGTCAGTTTATCCAATGAAAAGTGTTGGAGTGTTGAGACTTCCAACCACCCGTCTATCAACATACAACTCAACCTTTGATCTATAATGAAACATACAATTTAAAAAAAAAGAAACATCACTCAAGAAAGCAAAACATTTTACATTGTAAGATAAGAAATTGCAAGTTCAGATTAAGCAGGAGCATAAAGTATCCAAGGTTAGAATGAAATAGTACTAGGTTTAACATTAAAACTAGGTCAAAGTGGATCTGGCCAATGATTGTGCACAAAATTTTCCAGGCATACTTTTTGAATTCTCTGATAGAGGGTATGAATACTTTGCTACTGGATAATCAAGATAAGTGTGTGGTTTTTGAGGCATTTGTATACTTATATCCTGGCTATATATCTACTGACCTGGGAAAGTAGTTAATCAAAGGTTGCAGAATTTAACACATGCAGCACCCCTACGCAGATTGTTTCAGGCATCCCAAGTTGGAAGAAGTCAATTCCAGGAGGTTGTTTAAATGAGCTATCTTATACACATCTACTTGTATTTTGATATTCATTGGCACTGAAAAATAAAAATAAATCTTAAAACTTGCAAGGTTTGGACTAGTTTCCAGGAGATTCCTCCTTGCTCGAGGGAGTGCAGGAGGACTACTGCTTCTTGCCGGAGTCTTTGGACCGCTGTTGTTTTATTTTAACCTTTACTCCAATATCTATTGAATTACAAACAAAGTTTAGGCACAGATCCTACAGTATATACATAGGATCTGTGGTTGAGGGTAGGCCTACACCCCTGCCCTCTTCATACTTCAAAAAAGTCCCTCAGTTCGATCAACAACTTGGTTTGGAATTTACTGCCAAAAGTACACTAGAAACGCCTAATGTACATCTCAAAGTACATTTCAAGTTTACTTTAATCAACAGTGAAAATGAAAGTATAATAATATTTCTAGATCTTACACACATAGAACTACTAGTTTACTAATCGAAGCTGCTTTGTCACGTAAGAAAATGAAATTAGGTATCACATCAATATGATCACATCTAAAGTAACTGATAATGATGATTCAGATGTAAGTTGAAAGAGGATTCATCTCGGGACTTTCAAGGGGAAATGTATGCCAACTGCTAATAAATTACTGAGGTAAAACTGAAGCACGTCAGGCTGGCCTAAAAATTCAACTGGACCCATCTTGATACCGCTGTGAAATAAAAAGCCATGGAGCATCACTTAACAACAAAGTTCTACACTTCACCTGAAGAAGAGCACTGTGTGCTTGAAAATGTCTACAAAATTAAGGCTGATGCCAGAATTTGCCCGACATGGGGTCTGAAATAAATTAAATAACATGATGTTTTGATCAACGATGTCCCTTTATGATACTTAGTGAGTGGAGTTTTTTTAGTCATGAGTAAAAGTCCTGCTGTCACAGGATTTGAACCCAGGACCCTAGGATTAGAAAGCAAGCATCTTTAACCACTAAACTCAGACTCGTATTTTGGGGTTTGGGGGGTTCGTTCGTATGTGGGTTTTGATAAGGAGATACGCTCTTTTGTTTTGTTTTGTTATGTGTATTGAGGGTCCCTAATGATCAGCTTCGGCTGGATGGACCACCCTCATTAAAGATTGTTGAAATAAATAAACAAAATAAATAAATAGTCCCAAGCCGAACCTCCCCCCCTCTGAAATTCCTAAATACGGGCCTGAAGCTATTGCGTTCCACTGCAATATGGATCTGCAATGGCGAAGGGGGCACTCACTCCACCTTCCTTTCCAATACATAGTCCCTATACTATGGACTAGATTGTCATTCCTGACACTATCAACAAAATCTGGATCAGAAATTTGTTCTCTCTGTATTTTAAAAATTTCCTTTATAAAATTTGGTTTTGATTTTAATATTTGTAAACTGTTTATGGCATTTCACTTTTATCAACAAATACAATTCAAGCAAACAGCAATAATTTATAAGTCATCTGTTTCCAACAGAAATAGTATATAAATATGATAAACCCTAAACACAACTTAATTAATGAGGCTTTAATTAAAAGTTTACTTTTTTGTATTATATTATTAGCTGCCTTCCACTCATTAGTCAGTAAAGTATTAGTTAGTAAAGAATTGAATTGGTAGCATTTTAGCCTTTAGATCTGTAAACAATATAACATTTTCTTTGACAAAAAAAAAAAGTTGTCTGTCATATGATGTACCTATATTTGGTCATGATGTGATGTCACCATGACCATATTTAGACATGTCACATGATTTTGTCAAATCAAATCTGATAGTCTGGACAGGGATAATAACATGATAAACTATTTCCATAACTGATGTTCATCGTGTGTAGTGATGAGTCATACTATTAATATCTGTTGCTAATTTGTTATTATGACTTGATCAAATTACTGTGATTTTGTCTTCTAAATGTCCTCTTTTGTATATGGGTATTTATAATAAATCATATCAAAGCGCTACCTTTATTTTATGTATGAAAAAAAAATGCTTCATAATGAAACTAATGTAAACATATGAAACAAGGAAACGATACCAAACATTTTTTTTTTTTGCACAAAATATTCCCCTGATCGACAGAATCATTTTGTAAAGCAATTCTGTTGTATAGCTGTCACTGCCAAACATTTAAGAGAAACATCTGATTAAAGAGAAGAATCTTAAACTGTTAAAAGACAATACACACTGGGCAGATAGGCTATTTGAAAGAAAATCATGGCACTGAAAAGTTACTAAAAAAAATGACAGCTGAAAATCGGAAAAAACACATTTTATTGTGATCAGTTAAAAAGAAAATTTTGAAATGGATCATCAGACACCGATAGCTAAATCAGTGTGCAACACTACCAGGACTCAAGATACTGCGCAAAGATCAGACCTAGATCGTCGCCAAAGACTTGACCGAAAAATTTTTACTCTGAAGAAACGGCAACGGCTAACAGCTTCTTACCAACTTGTTATATTTCTTGCGAGTTGTTTGCCTACTTTTATATTATTAGGTGCATGCAGTTGTCGTGTAAGTCACGCTTTATTCGTACATGGGTATACTTATATAGTAGTACACAAATTTTATTGTTTTATTTTTAAGAGCTATGCTAAGAGGATTTTTAGATTCACAGGTAAGGGTATAAATTCCTCTTTCACTTCCAAATTTGAAAATTAGCTTACCAACCTTCATCTTTCTGTTTCTGAATATCTGAATTTTCACTTGATTTGATTTGACAAAGTTTGTCCTCAATCTCAGATCCTACCTCTAGAACTAGTCTGTGCAAATTGGCCTATGTAGCACAATGGGCTAAATTCTTGTTTTTGTTTTGTATAGTTTCAACATAACAAATCAACTTATTATTATATTAGTATGAAAATACTTCAGTAAATTTTTTCTGGACGTGATACAGACATACAACCCATGGGAGATCGGACACATGAAGATTATCCTCATTTCAAAAAATAAAAAATACCAATCGAGGAACTGCTATTAATTACGCAATTATATTCTTGAATTTAACCTGAAGTTAAGACAAATACAGATCAATAGATATGATATCATTATCATAATTAATTCATTAGTGAACGTCAACTACATTTTATGAATTTGTACCAGGCATTTGCAAGTCAAATTTGAGTAACAAGTTTGTGCTGATTTTTTTCTGCCTCTTTGTTTTCCCTTTTCTCAGCATAGCATAAACTAGCCCAGGATAGATTCCCTTGGCTGTACAAACAGTATTTTCTTGTCATAAAATTTTTCAGAAGAGCGATATGCCAGGCATTTGCGAGGTGAGTTTGGGTAAGCCCTTTCCCACGCTGTGTTGCAGGGGCGAATGTAGGGGAAGGGGTGCAGACGGTGAAATCGCACCTCCCCGCCCCCCCCCCCATAAAAGGTATTACACTTTTTTTTATAAGAACCAGTAAAATTTTGCCAAGACTACGTGTTCTTATTTTTTGGCCGATTTCAGGCTCAAAATGTTCTTATTTTGTTCTTACTTTACATACTTCCCAAAGATAGAAAATTATTACTGTACAGCGGTATATTGCTGTACTGCATTTTTTAGGGTATTACATAAACCTGCCTACTACACATTAGGTGCAGATAAGATTTGTTGGTTTTCCTATAAAAACCTCTTCCAACATTTTACCTCAGTCTCAATTTGTTCTTATTCTGTTCTTAATTTTCAAGCAATTTCAGTGTTCTTATAAAATGTGTTCTTATAAAAAAATAAATGAATAAAAAAATTAAGTGTTGTACTCTATTGTTGATATGAAAATAAATGAGATTAAATCTGGTCACATAATTCATCCATAGTATTGATCTACAGTAGGTCAGTGAAGGCAGCTTACATCTATTATCGGGTAACCACAAACCACTATTGGGGTATATAAAATTTAAGGGAGCCTGGTGTCACATTTTATCTTAAAGAGGAAACTTCATCTTTTAACAATAATACAAATGACAATGAAAATGGCCAGGACACTTTATTGTTGTCACAGTACACTGCATTACGCCATCATTACCACTTGGTTGAAATCCGGGTTTATCGCAAATCCCTCCCTACTACTGGTACCGTACAACACTAAAGCGCAGGTTAAATTATTGTATTGTATTCAGTAGCAAGAAAAGCTGGACAAAGGCTAGGTGCACTACGGAAAGTTGCCTCCAAACTTGACACCGAGGGCAGAGCATCTGTTTATAAAGCACAAATCCGTAGTGTACTGGAATACGCATGTCT